TCTAGCCAACAAGTCGTCAGATCTAGCCACCGAGAGGACGTACAGTATATTCATCGCCAAATACTCAAGAAACAAGCGAAGAGCCCACATTGTATATCTTCTTAAGGACCTTTGATAACTGAAAACCCAGAGACACACATAAACAACAACAACAGCTGAAGCACGATGTTCAGAAGCACTGGAAGACTATTATTACTATTATCCAATAACAAATAACCTAATTCACAACCCCAATATTAATGAAACATGCAAATACTGAAGGGGTTGGAGAACGGGTCGCCTTGCAAACAAATTGCCCAATCCTTGCATGATACCTACGAGTCAGTTGTTGTTGTGCTGGGGAAGGGGATTTTTTGCTATAAAGGTGAATATAAAGAATAATATACATGGTGTTTATATGAATTTTCAACATAATTGGAAATGTAAAGATCTCACCTTATTTGTTGACTTAAGATAAAAACAAAATAATTAACGAACAAAACAAAACATATGATAAAATATTCAGTATCGATATTATCATCATCCAATCACCACTATGGACTGGGTGTGATGTTAGGGCACTGTAGGCTGGGTGTGGTGTTAGGGCACTGGCTGGGTGTGGTAGGGCACTGTAGGCTGGGTGTGATGTTAGGGCACTGTAGGCTGGGTGTGGTGTTAGGGCACTGTAGGCTGGGTGTGGTGGGCACTGTAGGCTGGGTGTGGGGGCACTGGGGGTGTGTTAGGGGCACTGTAGGCTGGGTGTGGTGTTGGGGCACTGTAGGCTGGGTGTGGTGTTAGGGCACTGGCACTGTAGGCTGGGTGGTGTGGGGCACTGTAGGCTGGGTGTGGTGTTAGGGGCTGTAGGCTGGGTGTGGTGTTGGGCACTGTAGGCTGGGTGTGTGTTGTTAGGCACTGTAGGCTGGGTGTGGGTGGGGGCACTGTTACTGTAGGCTGGATGTGGTGTTAGGGCACTGTAGGCTGGGTGTGGTAGGGCACTGTAGGCACTGTAGGCTGGGTGGTGGGGCACTGTAGGCTGGGTGTGGTGTTAGGGCACTGTAGGCTGGGTGTGGTGTTGGGGCACTGGGCTGTGTGGTGTTAGGGCACTGTAGGCTGGGTGTGGTGTTGGGGCACTGTAGGCACTGTGGGGTGTGGTGTTTGGGCACTGTGGGTTGGGTGTGGTGTTTGGGCACTGTGGGTTGGGTGTGGTGCTGGGGCACTGTGGGCTGGGTGTGGTGTTTGGGCACTGTGGGTTGGGTGTGGTGTTTGGGCACTGTGGGTTGGGTGTGGTGCTGGTGCACTGTGGGTTGGGTGTGGTGTTTGGGCACTGTGGGTTGGGTGTGTGTTTTAGCACTGTGGGGTTCGGTGGTGTTAGGCAGCAGGTGGGTTGGGTGTAGTTGGGCACTGTGGGGTTGGGTGTGGTGTGTCGGGCACTGTGGCTGGGTGGTGTTAGGCAGTGTGGGTTGGGTGGGTGCTTGGGCAATCAGGCTGGGTGTGGTGTCGGGCACTGTGGGGTTGGGTGTGTGTTTGGGCACTGTGGCTGGGGTGTGGTGTTTGGGCACTGTGGGTTGGGTGTGGTGTTAGGGCACTGTGGGTTGGGTGTGGTGTTTGGGCACTGTGGGCTGTGGTGTGGGTGTGGTGGGGCACACTGTGGGTTGGGTGTGGTGTTTGGGCACTGTGGGTTGGGTGTGGTGTTTGGGCACTGTGGGTTGGGTGTGGTGTTTGGGCACTGTGGGTTGGGTGTGGTGTTTGGGCACTGTGGGTTGGGTGTGGTTGCTTGGGCACTGTGGGTTGGGTGTAGTGCTTGGGCACTGTGTAGAAAAGGGATAATAAAATTCATTAACTTTAACCTTAACAAAATCTTCCAACATTGTACAGTCATAGGGATATACAGTACCTCGTCGCTTTTCTTATTCCATCTGTACTTCCACATCCTACCATGAGTTTTCTGCTGGAAATCCTACCAAAACTCACATCTATCCTTGACTTAAGCTGTGTGAAAAACCCTGCCTCGGTGTTTTTCGTATAACTTCCATCAATCCAAATCATCCTGTTTCAAATATCTTCACTCTCCAGCAAGGGAACGTCTAGGATAAACAAATTTGACAACGAAACGTATCTGATCTCTTTCCCTGTGCTTTTTATTTGTTGGAAAAAAATCATCTTCAGTTCTGAGAAATTATTAACGTGTGAACCTTCAATCATCAGGACTTTCGTGTCATGAAAGTCGAGAGAAAAAATATACGAGAGTGTTTCTGGGACAGTCTAAACTCTAGACAGCAAATAGATATCAGAGTTATTAAGAGAGATCGCACAGTCCTCTCAGTACTACTACTACTACTAATAAATAATAATAATAATTAACGGTTTTTTGAAAGATCATGGCAGCCGGAAGGCTGAAAATTTACAGTTACATAATTGGGGAATGGGTCTCTTGATTTACAAATGATATACAAGCAACATAAGTGATGCAAATATGATATATAATAACTAGGTGGGGAGAAGCTCAAACTACAGGGCAATTCAGCATAGTGACAGTGCAAGAAGTAGGATTGACTGGGAGTGAATACTCTGGTTGATTATAAGTTATTGATAATTTTTACAATGGTTGGGACCGGGCTGTTCTTATAGCTATCAGTTCGTGCTCGTATGGGCTGGATGCGGTTGTGGTGTCGAACAGCAATTCTCGGACGAGGGATCTCGGGTGGTAGTAGGAGCCGGTGTCGAGGATGGTGCAGAAGCTTCTCACCAAATTTGCAGATGAGGTCGTGATGCTGGTCAGAGAGAGCCGAGAGGGTCAGCGTGTTGAGCGCTTCTTGATATATGGAGTAGGAAGGGGTGTTTACGTTGTGTGGCATTTAGGGAGGAAGACCAGGTAGGGAAGGCATAGGTGAGCTTGGGAAGTATGAATGTTGAGTAAACACTGAGGAACTCGGGCGCAGGAGCTCCGAGGGACTTGAGTCGGCGGAGGAGGTGGAGACGGAAACTGGAGGATTTGACAACTTCACTGACGTGTGATTTCCAATTTAGTTTGTGGTCTATGGTGACGCCGAGGAGCTTAGTGGAATCTACAACCTGGAGTGTTGGGACCTAAAGTAATGGAAGGGGGTGGGACAACGTCGGAGGAGAGGTTGATGTGCATAACCGTGGTCTTGGTATGGTTGATGGTGACGTGGTTGTTGGTGGCCCAGTTTTGGAGACTGTTCAATAAATTCTGAAGGGCGGTAAAGTCGGGAGCAGAATTGTTGACACTGAACCCAATGGTGGAGTCGTCGACATATTTCCAGCGAGCAGGGGTTTCTCTTAGGGCATCACTGATAAGCATAAGGAAGCATAGTGGTCCCACCTTGGTGCCTTGGGCGACGCCACGGATGAGTGAGCTAATTATCAACGTAGTCGATCTTTCTTTTTTTTTTCCTTGAAGGGAAATCAAGTGATGCTTGATATAAACAAACTGTTGGTACTCCTGGTTCTACAGTGCTGCCAACTCAACAGGAAACCCGCCACCCTGTCCTTCCACATTCTTGCTATATGAGATGTTCGTCTGGAGAGAGAGGGAGCACGCTTCCTATAGACACTCATTCCTTTATTATCTTACTGTCTGAAGCCTTATCACACACAAATGTATATATATATATATATATATATATATATATATATATATATATATATATATATATATATATAAATTTTCACAGCACGGTATTTTTTTATATAAGTCACCCTTAATTACAGACCTAATTAATATTTTAAAATATTTTATATTTTACCTCATCGTAACATAACTCCAACGGGATAAAAGTGGCTTAAGTTCAGTGTTGGGTTACACCAAGACAAAATAGCTAACTACCTTTAAATACTAAATAAAGCGCATCGTACCGTAACCGCTCTACTTGTGAAGGTAGTGTTCGAAATCGCCTCTGGGAATTATTATGAATGCACTAGCGTTATCCTTACCCCTTGGCGTCCTTCTCTGGGTTCTCTCTCTTTTTTTTTATTAATATTCATGTCTGAACCAGGACGAGGTGACCTTGTTGTCCATTATAAAAGGTTGCCTCGAGAGCTGAACTTGAATCTACCGCTTTAAAAGGGTGCCGAGTGCTGACAGTTGTACACGGCGCGTTGAAATATAAACATCAGCGCTGCAAATCTTGGCCGAGTACGTCACTGGGTGGAGGCGAGAGAGTGTTTATTTTGTGTGTGTGTGTGTGTGTCGTACTGGTGTCGTCTTGTGCTGAAAAGTCCAATTCAATCTCAGGTGACATTCGGTGATAATTATACCAGTGCACTTAATTATACCAAGCGTGTGTGACAAATTTGACACACAATTGTTATTATACGTAATTATGACTTGAGTGATACAAACAAGCCACCGTAATTAATGACCAGGTGACTCCAGGTGATAATACCATTGAAAGTGATGAGCCTCAGCTACATACTGAGAAAAACCCTGAAGTCTTTATGTCGTGTTTTTTTATCTTTAATAATTTACTTCATATGTATCCTAAAACTTATTATAGGTCAAGTGTGGAAGTCTTTATCTAGTGTGTTAAGTGTCCAATTGTTCTCTCAACTACTGATGATTCTACGACACTTCCTGGACACTAAGAAAACACTGTATTAGTTATTCTCTTCAGGTATTAATATGACTTGGCGATCTGTGGTGTAATGATCAGAATGCTCGCCTCACAAGCGAGTGGACCCGGGTATGATCCCTTGGCAGGGTGACACTATGGACACGTTTCTTTATGCTATTTGCCTATGTCTACCCAGCAACAATTGGGAACCTGACTGTTATTCGATTTGCAGATCGTATGGGTAATGGACTTTTGGTGTTGTTGTGTTGGCGACAGCTTCTACACCTCAAGTTCACACCTAGGTAGCCCTAGGGCCAGCCATCCTCGGCATTCATTACATTAGTATTCAGTGATTTGTCAGTTATTGTTAGGGGTAATTAATTAGCTTTGGTCAAAGAGCCAACCCACACGAGCTAAGATCTGACTTGTATTCTTCTCCCTCAACAGAAATCCTTCCCATGTGGGAGAAATGCAGCCACCACATGAGTCCTGTTCCCGACCTGTAGTCCTCCTAGTCCCTGGCCTCTCCCTTAGTGATTTGGCCTCCTTCTTCACCGTCACGAAACACATTCTGTTCACTTCATCTCATTCAACACTATTTAAAACGATGAACGACACATCAAACAATTTCAAAGAATAAACATTTAAGCTACGAAATTCACGCCCATTGTGGTATTCCTGAACAATAACAAAGTGACTTCTGAAAAGAGCATCTTATCCATAAAAACGCCCCCGTAAGAGGTGAAAAAAAATTATGAGAAATTGGTAAAAAAAAAAAAGCAACGGTAATCTCCCCTTGTGATACTTCCATCCAAGAAACGAAGTGTATGACAGTGAAATGTGCTTTGAATAACTCTCTCTTGATAAGTTTCTGAACCTCACTACAAAAACGAAGGAAACTGTGGGAAAATTAAAGGTTGGAGAACGTTCTCTCTCTCAGACAGCCCTCTCTCGGTCTGTCTCTCATCTATACGCGCTAGCTTGCCCACGCGTCCCCGTGCTACCCACAACATGGAAGACCAATCATCAGCAGTAGAGTGCGGGAGTCAGGCGGGCTCAGACGTGAGGTCGGTCCATCACCACCAAAGGCACCACCAGCTGGGGGCCAACACAGAGCAGTACCTGGACCAAGAACCAGACCGCCTAGGACACGAGGACGACTATTATGACGACGAGGAAGTGGGCACCGATGATATGAGAGCAGACAACATCAGTAACAGCTGCCGCCACACCGCCTCTCCGGCAGACTCTTCCATGAGCAGGAAGGTGAGTCACACATACCTTCATTTACTGTTGTGACGCTGGCCAGGAAGGTGGCTCTGTACCTCTCTGCTGTAGACAGTTTCGGTTAACTGTGGTAGAGATATTATCTCTTTAACTGTTGTTGGGAAAGATGTTCGTTTGACAATGAAGAATACAGTAGCTTCTATGTGACAAAGACTGTCTTTTATTCAGGCAGACGCATTACCTCTGGCTGTAGCAGGGGCATTTCTTCTCGACATTGCTATTGACTCTAGTGAAGAGTGTCTTTAACCCTGACTGTTACAGCTAATCAGACATTGGTAGACATTACCTCTGGCTGTGTTGACTACAACAGCACACATCATTTATGATAGTGGGGTACACAACATCCCTGACTGCAGCAGGAAAGAAACATAGGTTTTATGCTATTAGTTGTAGACAGTGCTGGTGACACTAAGAGAGATACTACTTGTACATCTGACGACTGAAGGAAGCATTTCTTGATTTTTGGCAGGAACCACCTTCCTGATGTTGCAAGCGAGGGTAAGTTTATACTAATAATAAGAATTTTTAATTGTGACAGACAAGGAGCCTCTCGTCTTAAACTCTGGCTGTGGTTAAAAATAACGCTTAACTCTGGTGTGACTCTAACCCATGTATATTATAACACAGCCTCTGACGGTAGCTGATAGTATATCTGGTTGGTTCTGTGCACAACGAAGAGGATTTTGAGCCTTTGGTAAAGAAGAGATAAATAATATGTCTTTTGTTTTATGTATAATCTTTACTGTGATGAGACTGTCCCTGACTGTGACATAGAACTTGGCCTTTAACTGTCGTGTGTAAAAGACAATTATCCCAGACTGTTGCGACGGAAAGATAGTGACTAGAGACAGTAACTCCACTGATAGCGAGCGGAACAAACCCTTCATTGTAAGACAGAGAGGACAAGCTGTCTATTGTCATACATCCAAGAACAACCTGAGACAGCAACATGTGACACAACACTCACTCACTTCACACCAACACCTACCAACACCACCAACCACGACCACCTACCACCACTACCAACCACGACCACCTACCACCATTACTTACCACGACCACCGACCACTACTGCCAACCACGACCACCTACCACCACTGTTAACCACGACCACCTACCACCACTACCACCTTCCACCACTACCTCTTTCCACCATTAAAACATATCACCACTATTACCACCACCTACCTCCACTACCACCTGCCTCAACTACCACCACCACCTACCTCCACTACCACCACCCACCTCCATTAGCACCAACCACAACTACCTTCACCCACCCACATCAACCACTGCCACACACACTGACAAGACAAAGGAATAAAAACATTGAAATCCTGTTACATTACAAGACGATAACACACCCCAGCAAAAGTAACACTATTAGCCCGCTCTTCCCCCTTCTGTTTTTTCTTCTGGGCATACCTCAGTGGTCCGATCCTACGCTTAAGGTTCTCTGGTTAAAAATTGAATACTTTGGATAATTCCTCATCTTAAAGACTCTTGGGAAATTTTGATTAGTTTTGCAATACTAATTAATGTGATTTTTCGATGGCACTCCCTGGACATGCTGATTAACGCGACCTTGACGGAACTGTTGGTGTGGACTGTGTCTGGGTGGTAGGAGGATAGTTGTTGTTATTGTGAATGCTACAGTTTCTCCTTTCTGTTTTCATCATCTCTTTGCTTACTGTTCGCCCCTCGCAGTGGTCGGATGAGGTGACAAAGTCAGGACCTGAAACATGTGCCAAGGCTCTTAAGTGACTGTTAATGTCCTCTCCGTGTACAGTGCCACATGCAGCTACATGTGTACAGTGCCACATGTGCAGCTTCATGTTTACAGTGCCACATATGCAGCTTTACGTGTACAGTGCCGCATGTACAGCGACATGTGCACAGTGCCACATGCAGCTACATGTGTACAGTGCCACATGCAGCTACATGTGTACAGTGCCACATGTGCAGCTTCATGTTTATAGTGCCACATGCAGCTTTACGTGTACAGTGCCGCATATACAGATACATGTGTACAGCGCTACACATGCAGTTTCACGTGTTAAGTGCCACATATCTAGTTCCACGTGCACAGTGCCAAATAAGCAGCTTCATGTGCACAGTGCCACATATGCAGCTTCATGTGTACAGTGCCACATGTGCAGTTTCACGTGTTAAGTGCCACATATCTAGTTCCACGTGTGCAGTGCCAAATAGGCAGCTTCACGTGCACAGTGCCACATATGCAGCTTCATGTGTACAGTGCCACACATGCAGTTTCACGTGTACAGTGCCGCATATGTAGCAACATGTGTACAGTGCCACGTATGCAGCTACATGTGTACTGTGCCACATATGCAGCTTCATGTGTACAGTGCCACATATGCCGCTACATGTGTACAATGCCACATATGCAGCTTTACGTGTACAGTGCCACATATGCAGCTTCACGTGTACAGAGCCACATGCAGTTTCATGTGTACAGTGCCGCATGTGCAGCTACATATGTGCAGTGCCACATATACAGCTTCATGTGTACAGTGCCACATATGCAGCTACACGTGTACAGTGCCACATGCAGCTACATGTGTACAGTGCCACATATGCAGCTACATGTGTACAATGCTACATATGCAGCTTCATGTGTACAGTGCCACATGCAGCTTCACGTGTACAGAGCCACATATACAGCTTCATATTTACAGTGCCACATGTGCTGTACCTCCACATGCAAAGTGCAACACATACAGGTATAGTGATATACAGTGCCTCATATACAGTGTCATATGTTCAGTGCCACATACGTATTGACAAAAATGAGCAGTGCTGCCGCATGTGTAATACTACACATATCCGGTATAGTGCTACATTCAGAACCACATATACAGTGGCCACATATGGGGGTATACACATACAGTGCCACATATCTATATAGGCTAATTCTTGGTTCGGTTAGGTTTGGTTATGGGGGTAGATTTAATATAGATTAAGTTTAGGGTAAGTTTGACTTAGCTTAGGTTTAATTCCGGTAGGCTTGGTTTATGTAAATCAGATTAGGTTCATGTTAGGTCATATGGAACGTCCCGTCGAGCTCTGGAGATAATGCAAGTTGTACTGTCTGCTTCTGTTCTTTTGCCAACCTGAAATTACACGTTACCTTTTTTACACACACACAGGTGCTTCAACATACGAGGGGGAAGGTGAAAGAGCAACTCCTGGATAGTCTAAGAAAAACCCCTTCCATGATATCATATGTTTGCTAGGTTTATTTATTTATTAATCACCTGATGATTAAACACCCTAAGGCTACTTGGGAGGTTTGGATAGGTTAAGTTAGGTTAGATTTGAGTAAGTATGTACGGTTAGATTAGGTCAGGTAAGGTTAGATTGGGTTAGGTAAGATTATATTAGGATAAGTAAGGTTAGGTTAGGTAAAGTAAGATTAGGTTAGGTTTATTTAGGTTGGTTAGGTTAGGTTAGCGCTAGGGTGTTTAATGATCAAGTGAAATAAGCTGGAGGAGGTAACCGTAAAGTGATACCGTATAATGTATTTTTAAATGGAACACTGTTCCAAAAAGTCAGAATAGACCAATACATAGTGAACAGCAAGAACACCATTCACCACCATGGACAAATCTTTCGAGAGCTGCAGCTTTGTTGATGGGATCTGATAAACTTCTCGTCTCCATCAAATTATAATTATACAGTACATATTTTAGTGGTGGGGTTAAGTCAAACCGTTGGAGATGAGAATAAAGGGTGGAAATACCTTTGTCGTATTGTGTGTCTTTTTTCTTTCTTTTAAAGATAGTGTACACACGGTAAAAGAAAAGTATCTGCCTAGATGGGTCCGATGAATTTCGAAGTGATCAAGATGACTCGTGTTGTCTTGGTTGTGTTATCAAAATCCCCTGCCCGTGGTGTCATATTTTTCATACAGTGTTTGTAGAAATTTCTTTTACCACGTATACACAGGACAGACTTGCCTACGGGTTCTTCAATGAGTCATGTCAGGTGTTCTATGTATTGGTGTTTGTAACCTAATCTCTCCCCCGTCCCTCACACCAACACTAACAGTCTCTCCCTCATCCCTCAGAGCAACAAGCCGTTGATGGAGAAGAAGCGTCGTCAACGCATCAACCGCTGCCTCAATGACCTCAAGACACTCGTGTTGGAGGGGAGTAAGAAGGACGTGAGTAGTTTTGCGTTTTCCAGTTCGTTTTATGTCTCAGTTAATATAGCTTCATGTTTTCATTGTTTTCTCCTCTCTAAAAAGAATATATGTCAAATGGATGTATAAATATTGGTGTGAAGGTCAGGGGCTGCCAGTCCTACTCTCATATGTGGTTTCTTGTTTCCCCGCAGCCGTCAAAGTACAGCAGGCTGGAAAAAGCGGACATCCTGGAAATGACGGTGCGACATGTACAGGCTTTGCACCGACACGAAGCTGCTGCAGGCGGCAGGCTGGTCGGCGGCGGGCGGCTTGTGATCGGGGAAGAGGGCAAATACCGCGCGGGGTACACCCACTGTGTCAGAGAGGTCGCAAAGTACTTGGCCACCTTAAGTGACCTACCCCAAGATCTCCACAATAAGGTGCTCTCCCATCTTAACGCCATCGCCAGCTCCGTATCCTCCAATGTAAACAGTAATGCCACCAGCGTGCAGAACAACGTCAATGTGATGCCCAACCCAGCGCCCATCATCCTGGTGCTCAACACCACCGCTGGGGCTCCTGTCCCTCAACAACCACCACTCACACAGTCCATCACCTTCCAGGAGAACGGTGGAAACTCCCTGGGGGCCCAACCTCAGGTGACGCTTGTATCCACGCCTCGGTTCCAGCAGCAACAACTACAGCAATGTGGACTCCAAATAATGCCGACGCACCTTAACAACGGTGATCTGGCATTAGTGCTCCCCGCCACCCAACAAGTTGTGTCTCACAGCAGCAGCAACACCAGAGCACCTCCCAGCGCCGCCTTGCAAGCATCAGCACCCGTCCTGACCGCCATTCTAACTTCAGACAGGAATAGCTCAATCTCTTCTTCGTCATTTGTTCAGCCGCCAGCCTTGTCCACAAGCAGTGATGATTCTGCTCTGGGCACCGAGACCCTTGACACTTCAGACAGTGACATTAGCTGCTCGGGGATCAGCACACCCATGTCCTTGAGCAGCGCAGGGTCACCAGTGCCTGTAGAGGAGACAGGACGAACCTCTCCCAAAAGAGCAGGCTCCTCCCGGGCATCTCCACCACCCAGAGCCCGAATGTGGAACAGCAGCATCTTTAGAGAAGAGTTGGGGCCGCCGTCGTCGTCTTCATCATCATCTTGTCCTAACAGAAGTAGTACCACCCGCCGTCAGCCCGTGTTGGCCCCAAAACCCACGTACCCTGCCTGGCCATCACGCTCTGCCCCAAACGATTATCCTCCGAGAATACGAATAGAAAAGAGTCCTCCGCCTCCACCAGCCGAGCCTCAGTCCATGTGGCGGCCGTGGCACTGACCAACCTGGCGTGGCCTTCAGTTCCCCGCCCACTGCTCACCCACAATACTTGCCAATCACTCCTCCCTCACAGTACAACTCAGTATCTCAGTAGTATATCGCAAGCACTCACAAGGATGGTAGTTAACAAGTACAACTGTAGTGATGAAGAGAAAAAGCTAATGACTTTGAGGGCTGAGTACCACTGTTAACGACGCCCTCAGAAGGTCCTCACACATACACAAATCTATTTTTATACAGCATCGTTTGAAGTCGCTTTGAGGAATTGTGTAAGAAAATCAAATTTAGTTATGAAAATCCAGTCAATATAAGCAAATAAAACCGGCAAACAGCGAGATGTGTGAGCGATGTTCTGATACTGAAAATGCTCAAATTGCTGGAACGACAAAAAGAAAACTACTGAAACAGAAAGATGATTTAATTAAGGAATAAAATAAGGATAACGTTACCAGATCATAAATCATTAAGAAGTTAATTTACATAAACTGGATCAGGAAGTAGTAAACTTTCACACCTGCCAGATGTGTGAAGGAAAGTCATTCTCATGTATTTCGAGTCTCCTGGCGGTGACTTGCACAGTCTCACCTGAAGGAGACGCTCACCGCCTCAAGATCTCCCAGAGAACCACACCGAGGACCCCCACCACTTGGAGAAAGTTCACACAAACTACTTCGTCTACACAGCTCGTGGTCTACAAATCTGAAGGGCGAAACCAACTAGCCCGTGATCTCATGTTGTCGTTTTATCACTCGAAGTTTGGAACAACGACAGAGGGAGACGGTTAATATTTTGCTTAAAATTTGTATTATATATATATATTTTTTTTGCATTAATAATGTATTTAATTTTTTTGGGTGACATTATTATTACTTTAAATTTATTTTTCTCTCAAACGATAAAGCACACCCAAAACCCTCCCTGAGCCTCCCGCCCCTCTAGAGGTGTACCAAACTTCGTCCTGTTTTTGTCTTGATGACACTTTTATTGTTATTACGCTTAACCACACTGGGCCAACTAACCGGCACCGCTGAGCACGTGTGTTGCACTGCACCATTGCACCTTGCACCGTGTGTGTTTTTATTTGCACCTGTACCTTGCACTTGTACCTGCACGCCCCCGCACCCCGCACCTGCACCACATTACCTCAGAGAGAGAGTCGAGCGAGGTGCCACCTCACGCGGGCTAGTCGAGCGCCAGATAATCACACGACACCTTAACGAGTATAGCTTGTAGCATAAAAGACAGTAAACTAGGCATTCCGTATAGTTAAGCAGTTAGACTTTGAGAACAGCCAGCTATCACTTCCTGAGAATCAAACAAGGTGGTCGTGTGACTTGAAGGCATCCTCCTTCACTTCCCGTCAGGTGTTGAAGGAAGGACACGCCCCGCGGAGGTGACACCCGGGCGACTCTCTCGTTAAGCCGTGGTGGTGTGTTCACTGTGATCCACCGGAACCCTCGAGCCGTCACCCCCCGTGCCATACTATTACCCTTGCCCCCCCCCCCCTTTCACATCACCTGCCTGTCTACTCCTCCATTTTAACTCAACCTCCTCGTTACCCCTTCCCCCTCACCTGCACCCCTATCGGAACACCTCATATCACACTCCCTTCCCTCACAGAAGAGCTCCCCCTCTTCCCCCTTTGACCTTCCACACCCCTCACCTCCCACGCTCTGATCACGCGCACAGCTTGTAATTAAGCACAGTAGCAGTAATGACTATTTATTGTATTTCAGGTGGGAAATAATCTGAAAATATGTTTAAATTTTCAACTGAGCAGGGTTTATGAACCCCACCAGTGCTTTATCTTGCACTGGACTTAAAAAGTGTCCAGTTTGGCAACACTCAAGCGATTTGACACACCCAAAAAATCTTGTCTCCTAAGGACACTTCAACTTTTCCGTTTTGCTTGAAACGTTGAATATTTTTCTCTACTCCTCTTCCTTAGTCACTTTATTGGTTTAAATGGACACATATGGAAGAGTAGAGAGTAGAAGAAGGCATACAACCCATGCGCCTCATCAGAGCTGTTGATAGGGTTTATTTTTTTTCCCGTTGAACGCACCCCTTTGAGTCGAACGTGCCCGTCCTCCATCCTCCGCATAGGAATAAAAGGTAAACAACACAGCCACACACCTAGGTTCAACTAGTCATGCACACTCATCCAACAGGCACACACACTGAGGTCACTCCCTTTCCCAGTGACCTGCCCTCTAGTCATTTTTTTTTCGAGAATATATTTTTATGGATGTACTGTACCGCCAGCCTCTACTCTTTAGTTATGCATACACGAGAGATAAGATGTAGGGGATGCGTAGATCAAAGGAACATTCGTATATATCAAATGATGATGTGTGCAGACGTTCTGGAACCTAAATAGATTATGTAAATTGCCCGCGAAAGATTTTTCTTGTATTTTCATCGTAAACGCCGTGGCTACTCACACACACCATTCACTCCCTTGCCCAATTAGTCTAGCCGGATCGTGCAGCCTTGACCACCAAATTTATTCATTAGTGCGTTTTAATGATTTATGTACGTTCTCATGCTAAACGAATTAAGATCCTATTCTTCACTTCTTTATCTCCCTAACTTTAACAAGAATTCGTGACGATATGATAACGATTTCTTACTTGGTTCTCTTCGTAAATAAATTATGTCCTTTCAAATGATCAGCTGAAAATCGAATTCAGATTCTTTAAAAGAATACGTACATCAGATTTACCGTCTTAAGATGCGCGAAGACCAAGATGAACAAATTCCCTCATAAATCCATTTGATACATTAAAATCCACGGCTTTTAATCCGGAATGAAGAGTACGTAGTAAGAAAGTGTCTTGTTTGACGCCTAAACCCCCTTCCCAGCCAAGACATGATTCATACTCCTTTAAGAATGGTTGGTTTTCCAAGATTAAGGTTCTCACTTTAGGAACTGACAGTCATCAATTACCTAAACAAGCAGTCAATAAGGTTACCTGTCTATCGCCTGAAAGTTGATGTACAGTAATTGATGCGCTCAAGAGATTTTTCCCTCCATTTTTTCCTCCATTTAAGGCTTCAGTAAGAGCCACCCCACGAAGGTCCTCTATGGAGGTGAGAGACCGCGTATGAGGACTATGAGTATTTGGAATACATCTATTGATACCCACAATCACATCCGGTGAACGGTATCTTCGTATCCTAGTAACTGATATTCACACGTATTCGATAACCGGTTATCACATCCTGTAGATGGTAACGTTAACCTTACTATCTGGTAACTGGTATGTTCCGATGGGTGTTTTGTTTTGTTTTGCAATTCACCCAAGTACCCGCACGACCGGTTAGCCAAGTCCAGTAATCCACCAACCCGAGATAACTCTCCTCCAACAAACTGCGTTGCAGTAGACAATCTGGCCACGGCGCGCGCTTCCCTTGACCACAACTCACCACGCTAGGGAGCTGCGATAGGTACTCTTGTTCCTACTGGACCAACCAAACGTGGGCAGGGCATTGGATAGGAGGCTCCGCACAAGGATGGATAACCCCTCTACCCCCAATCCCCCTGGACGAGAGCCACTGGATAGGGGAGACTGACTCACGCGTCGCTTTATCCCCCATTTCAGGAGGCGATTCTGCTTCACCCTTGAATATGTTTTCGCACCCCTCTCCACAGAACGTCTCCTTCTCGCCTCCCCAATCAACCCTTTCACCTCATCATTAATCCTTAAAAGAAAATAATTTGTTTTATTTTGTTAAACCCCCTTGGTGAATATGGACATGTACTGTATATATATATATATATATATATATATATATATATATATATATATATATATATATATATATATATATATATATATATATATATATACTGTAACCTTTTTTTCTTCTACACATGTTTGATTATTGCACCTTTGATGTCAAATTCATATCAAGCACATGTATTTACCAGAATGTAACTACTTAATATGTATGTGGTATCACGTAGGTAAATATGGGCTACTCTACTTAAAACAAATGAGTATATATATATTTTGAATAATTTATTGTCGGCCGAGGGGCCCCGGGTCCACTTGTGTATTAATCTGTGATTTAAGTGTGATGGAATCTTATGTAATGAAATACATAATAAATTAAGGGTTATGATATATGTGTTTTAACTAATTTTACCACAAAAATATTTGTTAATGGAAAGCGGTAATATTTAAGCAAGAATGTAGTTGCTTTCGTGTGTGCGATACACTATTGGATAATGCAAGTGACGGTCGGCAGCATCATAAATAAACACGTGTCGAGCCTGAAGCGTGGGGTCCGGTCTACCTGTAGTTCCGGAATTATCATTATTCTTAAGGCAGTATGTTTACAACGCACCGACCACTCATTACACAGCAGACACTGAGATGACGAAAATATTTTCCCACGCTACCTCATACTTAAAAAAATGGCCTCCTGTCCAAAACAAGTAGAAGAAAAAAAATAACTTGACCGTGCTAAGGACACAAGTGATTTATACCTGGCAGGGCGAGTGTGCGCGTCGTTATGCTCCTTGAGGGGCCCCGGACACCGTGGGAATCAAATCTGGTTTCTGAGATTATTCTTACCGGAGTTGACTAGGTAAGTTAATTTGAGGCCGTCGTTTCAAACATTCAGGGATATCTGGGAGAAATTTAATAGATGCCATATATTTCCTCCCTGATAACCACGTGATTTTCATTTGAAAATTTGTCGAAAAAATTATAAGAACTAATTCTAAGACGAAAAACTTGCTTCTTCAGTGGCAAGATCTGGCAGGTGAAAGCGTGGTGTTACACACGCGCCGGCCAGCAAGGACGTCCACCTTCTTGCATCTCTCTTACACACCTTTTCTTTATGATTCGTACATGATTACAGAAAGCCATCTCTACCTCATAATTCGGCACAATACATTAACCAACTCGCCAAAGCTGAGGAGAAATTCAAGCGCCTAAGACAAACCTTGCTAAGTTAGATTACGAGATATTTTATTAATCTGGAACGACCATCGAAACTCGATTGTTTCTTTTGTTTCGTACAGTGAAAGAGTTATGGCAGTATCGTAGTCTAGTCATTGCCGCCCTCACTACACCACTGCCCCACTGCCCCAACATTTGAGATGCCATCACCACCACTGCCTGGGGTCCCCTGACCTTCGACTCGGATCCCCTGCCCTGTGCCTTGGCCATCCACACTGTCGTCTTGTACACCTGCACTGATGGTACCCTTTCTTGTACACCTGCACTGGTGGTACCCTTTCTTGTACACCTGCACTGATGGTACTCTTTCTTGTACACCTGCACTGATGGTACCCTTTCTTGTACACCTGCACTGGTGGTACCCTTTCTTGTACACCTGCACTGATGGTACCCTTTCTTGTATACCTGCACTGGTGGTACCCTTTCTTGTACACCTGCACTGATGGTACTCTTTCTTGTACACCTGCACGCAGTGGCGGCTCGTGAAAAATAAAATGGAGGGACTGCAAGCCTCACACAACAGTAGGTGACCTACCTCAGGTATGAGTTGTAGTTGATGTCCACGAATTCCCAGGGCATGGTAGTAGTGTTGGTGGTAGAAGGGATGGCCGAGGTGGTGATGGACCAGTATTAATTGAAAATAAAGTCGGCGTGTCTGCTCTTCGATGTAGCAAAATTGTTTATTACTATTTCATTAAAATCCTTTATTTCTGTTATCATCGTCAAATGGTAATTAAAGAAAGCACGATTTAGCCACACCGTCCACACGTTGTACGAGACTGAGCTGCTTCAAGTGCAGCGGCGGCGCCAATTAATAACAGACATGAATCGTACAGCATTGACAGCAACTATGAAAGTAACTTAAATTTTGGTCTGATTTTAATGAAAATTCACTTAGCAACGTATTGAAAATAATTAAATAACATATAAAATGATATATTTGTTGGTAGTGTATTATTCAGCTGTCTCTCTAAAGGAATCATACGCCTGGCAGTGAGTGTCTGGGGGACTGCAGCTCTGCAGCCCTATGCACGAGCCGCCACTGCCTGCACTGATGGTACCCTTTCTTGTACACCTGCACTGGTGGTACCCTTTCTTGTACACCTGCACTGATGGTACCCATTCTTGTACACCTGCACTGGTGGTACCCTTTCTTGTACACCTGCACTGATGGTACCCCTGTCTTGTACACCTCTGCTGATGTACCCATCATGTACGCCTCCACTAATGATACCCCTGTCATGTATGCCTCCACTGATGGTACCCCCTGTATTGTACGAATCCAGGAAAAAAAGTCAGAAAAAAAGTCACAGGAAAAAAAGTCACAGGAAAAAAGTCACATGAAAAAACGTCAGGAAAAAAATCAAGATAAAATTCACAGAAAAAAAAGGCACGGTAAAAACCTAACTAACCCAACCTAACCTAACCTAACCTAACAACCTAACCTACATGCCTCATATATAAATTGTGTTGTCAATATGTAAAAGTCACGTACTGTCAGTTAATAACTGTTTTAAAATATTTTTAGTTTTATTATCTTAATTGTGACTCTTTCTGTGACTTTTTTCCGTCCACCGTATTGTACACCCCCAGTGATGGTACACCTGCACTGATGGTACCCATACCTTGTATACCAAAACTGTTTTACACCCACACTAATACACCCACACTAATACACCCACACTGATAACACCTCCTTGTAGATGGTCATGAATAAAAAGGGTATGTGATTGATAACACATGGCACAAAGATCTCTACATGGCGTCAAAATCGCACTATGACTGGATGCGTTGTCGTGTTAAGAGGGCGATTCTTTACGTTTTAGATGCACGAAAATATTCACAAAATATAATGCAGTTGGAATAGTCTCACTATAATTCCGGGATTATTTAGGCCGTCATTTTGTGTAAATGTGAATCAGTTTGATGTTCTTTTGTATATTTTACATTGAATTCAGATCCAGATTCTACTAAGGTGTGTATAGTTTACAGTCGACACTTAGTGGATGGACAACCAACTGACAGTAATCTTGGTACCTAAACTTAAGTAAACATTCTTTTCTGATCATTTTTATCTTGACTGGAACTTAAAAAACAACTATTGGGAAACTTGTTCGTGTGTATTTAGTCAACATTGAACTCTCGTGGTATTGTAGTGGATTTCTCCCCTACAAAAGCTGTTTGTCGCTGAGTAGCCGATCCCGTGAATTCCCCAGTGTATGCCTCGTGGTCTAGGTCAACCAGCGCCGCCTTACATGACAGAGGTCAACTACTAAGCCACGCCTATCTCCGCTATTTAAGACCTGACCTCGTGGTGACCTCTCTCTTCTTCTAGCTACAGCCGCAGCAAGCAACACCTCCTCCTCCTCCGCCGCTGCCTGGCGGTCCTCGCTCCCGCCGGCGAGCATGGCGACCCACAAGCTGTCCTCCTCTGAGCATCCTCACCAAACAGCTCTCTCTACATCACGCTTGTAACCACGCTGCCACTTCCCAGCACCAAGCTGCATTGTACATCCAATACAACATGTATACAGAGAGCACATTGTGATTTTCCTTTCTCCATCCCATCCTGAGTGTGAACCAAACATCTCGTACTCCACAGTATGTTTGGGTTTTTCGTGAATATATTTAGTACACTTTTGTTCTCTCATATTTGTCCTCTTGTATTTCTCCTCTTTCATTTTTTCCTCTTATGTCTTGTATTTGTCCTCTTGTATTTGTCTACTTTCATTTGCCTTGTATTTGTCAGAGGTAGATGCAGACGCTGAGGCCACAATAATATGGCGGCAAGAGGACAAATGAGGAGGCTTATTTGTCCTCTTGCCGCCATATTATTGTGGCCTCAGCATCTACCTCTGACGTTTGCTCCACCAAGGCTAACAACAGTCCACAGAATACGCCTGCTCGCCCCCTGTAGGACCTTTCGCTTCTCCAAAAACTTTATCGTCATTGAGACTTCCCAGCGTTTGGTATCTGCCGATCTACCTTCATTCATGTTTCAACAAATATTTTTGCAAAATTCTCTGCCTAACCTACCCTTCGTGAAACAGCCCAAGGCCAAAGTTCTTGGCAAAAATATCGAAAAAAGTCCAAAAAATTGGGAATTTTTTTGCAAAAATGGTGCAAAAATGTTGCATAACTGATGCAAGAAAATTTACCAAAAATATCTGCAAAAAAATTGTCGGCAAAATGTATACAAAAATTTCCGGTAAAAATGTTTGGAAAAAACTAACTGCAAAAATGTCGGTAAATTGTGTAACTACATTTTCTGCTAAATTTTTTGCCAAATTATCGGGATTATTGTTGCCAAATTCTCGGCATTTTGTTGCCAAATTATCGTTAAAAATTACGTCAATTCTTTGCAAGATTCTTGGCAAAATTCATGGCTTTTTTGTAAAATTCTCTAAAATTTTGTGGGCAAAATTCTCGGCCTATTTTAAAGCAAAATTTTTAAATTTAGTGCAAAAACGATACAAAAATATTGCTGAATTTATTGTAGATAATAAAGTTGCAAAAATATGTTGCACAAAATCTTAAAATGTTGTAAAAATGTTCAAAAACATGTTCTACAAAATGTTACAGACAAAGGTTACAAAAATTTCAAAATGTTGCAAGAAAAGTTTCAACATAGAAATGTTTTAAAAATGAAACTGAATTTTTGAATGTTGCAAAAAATAATGCAAAAACTTTACCCAAATTAAGCAAAAAAGGTTGTAAGGCTTGCAACTAAGCTATAAAGGTTGCTGAAAATGTTAAAAAACTGCCAAAAATGTACCCAAAGATGTTTTGAAAAATTGCAAATAGATGTAGTAAAAAATATTGCAAAAATTTTTAAAAAAGTTTGCAAAAACGTTGCTGAAAAGTTAAAAAAAATTTGTTTCAATCATTTTTGCTCCCAAAAGTTGAAAGAAATGTTGCAGGAAAATTGCCCAAAAATGTGCACAATTATTTTTAAAAGTTTCAACAAGTTGCAATTGGGTGTTTGAAAATTATTGAAAAAGAATGCTGCAAAAGAATATAAAAAAAATTGCAAAAATTGGAAAGGTTGGAAAAATTGCAACAAAAATGCTTCAAAATGTAGTAAAACTGCAGAAGAAAGGTGCAAAAATATTTGCAAAATTCTTGCAATTTTTTTTGAAAAATTGGTGGGAAAAATTATTGCAAATTTTTTTGCAAACGATTGCAAAACTATTGCAAATAAGGTTATACAAATATTACAAAAAGGTTGCAAAATTTTTCCAAAACACTATACACAAAATGTTAAATATGTTGCAAAAATGGCAAAAAAAATTCAATTATTGCCAAAAACATTACAAGAAAAGTTGCAAAAATAATGTTTGAAAATTTTTTAACTTTTTTTGAAAATCTAGCAAAATGTGTTGAAAAAATTATGCAAAAATGCTGCAAACAGTTTGCAAAAACGTTGCAAGAAAGGTTGCAAAATGTAAAAAAAATGGAAATAGGTGTTATAAAAACTTGAAAATTTTAATAAAATAGTGCAAAAAATTTTACAAAAATGTTGCAGCAAATTCTAAATGCAGTTTGTAAAAATTTTGCAAAAATGTAGAGAAGTTTGCAAAAATTGGTTCAAAATTCTCGGCAAATTTTCTTGCAAAATTCTAAGCAAATTTGTTTGCAAATTTCTTGGCAAAGCTTTTTGCTAATTTTTCGGCAACATTTTTTACAAACAAATTGCCAAATACTGCATGTTGCAATATATGCTGCAAACAATGTTGCAAAAGTTACAATGCAAAAAATGCAAATAGGTTTCAAAAAATGTTGCAAAAGAATGTTACAAGATAATGCAAAAATGTTGCAAATGGTTTGCGAAAAGGTTACAAAAATTATGCAAGAAATGTTGCAATAAATTCTAAAAACGTTGCGAAAGATATTACCAAACAGGTGGCAAAAAAAAAGAGTTGCAAAATGCGATGAAAATTTGGGCAAAAAATGTTCCACAAAATGTTGCAAAAAAGTAGCAAAAATAATGCCAAAAATATTGCAAAACAATTAAAAAATTATAAAAAATGAAAAAAAATGCAAAACGTTTGCAAAGAAGGCTTGTAAAAAAATTCCAAAAAGGTTGCAAAAAAGTTGCAAGACAGGTTGCACTAATTTTTCAAAAAATTGTTGCAAAAAAGTGGCAAATATAGGTTGCAAAAAATATCGAAATCAATGTTAGGAAATATTGCAGAAACTGCAAATTTCATGGTAAAAATGTCTGCAAAAATTGTCAGCAAAAGTTTTTGGCACAAATCAAAGTGAAATTATAATTTATTTTAAATTGTCTGAATTTTTTTTGCAAAATGCTCAGCAATATTCGTTGCAGTATTGTGGGTAATTTTTTGCACAATTCTTGGCAATAACTTTCAAAATTCTCGGTAAAAATTATTGCAAAATTCTCGATTTTATCAATGTTTTTGGAAAAAATTTTTAAAATTTTTTCAAACATTTGGATTTGTGTAATCATATTTGTGCCATTCTTTTGCAATGTTTGGGCGACATTTTTCCACAAGTTTGTGTAAAAAAAATTTACAACCCTTTTTGCAACATTTTTGGGAGTATTTTTGCTGAGAACAGGTAAGGTCTTCATGGTGACTTTCCTAACATTCACATTAGCAGGAACTTTCTGGCAAATTGTACAGGATCTACAGTATCTTCTAATGCAAGCACCTGCACCTGGCCAAAAAGTTTAGTAAACTCCATATATATACCTAGTTTTCCAATGTGAGAAATGTCCAGCAGTCAAAGAATCATGTGCAAGATAAAGAGTATTGTTCATACATTTCAATGGTACAAACCAATTTCATACTCATTTTTACTCCATATAATGTAGGAAACAAACAAATATAGCACCACCTCACCTGTGTCTCCCTTACAGCGCATGCTCAGAATGTACACTCGCCAACTCCCTGGTATTCAAATATGCGTTGAACCACACAGACCAGATGGAAAGATCCTAAAAAGAAATATAAATGATATCGTAATACAAAAATAGCTCTCACACCAATTCAATGTTCCTATGAATGAAATGTAGATTTGACTCACTGCACCACTTGTAGTAGGTTCTTTCAGATGTTAGTAACCCTCTGCATCAAGTCAATATAATGCAAATTTACATTACTAACACCACGAGTACAAATTCAGTAAAGTTAAGTCACAACACAGGGGCCATGTAGTTGACGAAAAGAGTTCAGGTCTTTCTGTGAAGTGTTCCAGTTCCTCACGACAGGAGTAAGTGAATTGTTCTTCACCATCACAAGCACCAGGTAGAGTGCCAGGGGTCAGCAGTGAGTAGTGTACACTGGAGCTTTTATGACAGTCACAGGATAAATGGCTGTAACAAGACTTACAGAACATAAGAATCGTGGAACAATATTACACAGTTAACTCAAATTCTGACAGAAGATGGACTTGAAGTGACACTCATGAGCAGGGGAAGCACAGTGCTCACACGAGCAAGTGTCAGTGATGGAGAGAAAACCTCTAGTCTGACAACACTGGACAAATTTAAGTACAGAGTACAGTACAGCGATGTATATTTTAGCCAACTTTACAACTACCCTGTACAGTGAACCCTCACTTTACGCGGTCAATTGAACCCACGGAGGCCCGCGTAAAGTGAGAAACGCGTAAAGTGAACAACATAACATATGGGATTAATTGAAATAGAGACTGGGCCGACCCCCAAACTCCACTTTTTCCGTCACAATATGCACTTTGTAGTAAAAATAATATCTTAATTTTATGATGGTATGCACACACAATTAATAATTAAGAGAAATATCAATAATATTAGGTTTTTTAATACTTACGTTAGTAGAAAAGCTGGGTCGGCACACGTGGATGGCAGCTGGTTCCGAGGCAAGGGGCAGATTAGTTGCCCTCCGGTGAATCACTTTCACTACTCGCAGAGGTTTGCAGGGCCTCCCAGACAAACCTCTTAAAGTTCATATCCTCACTGTCAATATCACTGACTTGGGCTGGCTGTGGTTGTGGTGGGTTGCGGGCGAGGAAGTCCTCAATACTACGTTGACGACTAGCATTGATGTTGTCGAGATAGATCTGGATATACGGCTCCATAACTTTCGTGAGATGGTTAGTAGACGCTTCATACCCATGCTTGTCTGGGTCATTGTCAAGGATAAGCTTAAGTTTCTCCCCCAACTCGATGATTTCCTTCACATTATCATGGCTTGGTCCAGGTAATTCGATGTTTTTCTCTGGTGGTAGGGGTTCCGCGGAAGCCATTGAGAGTTGTGAGGGGATTAGCGGGCACAAGAGAGAACTGTATACGCGGACTGAGAACAATGAGACAGGCCCTGCTAGGTCAGCGACTTCTAACCTCTGGTGGCAGGGCACGTTATGTTACATTAGACCAATCACAGCTAGCGGCAGAGGGAATGTGTGGGTGGTAAGGATGCGTGGCCCAATCACAGTCCGATACGTCATATGACGTCAGCGATAACATAAGAGCGGCCTCATGCGCACCACTCACCACGCCGCTTCCCGCGTATGGTCAAGAATGGACCGCGTGGGTAAAAAATGGCGCGGCAGTCTGGACCTCTCCAGCCGCTCGCCGCGTAAATGACCAAATTTACCGTAAACAAAAACGCGTAAACAAAAACAGCATAAATGCAGACTATACTGTAAAAAGTTGCAAATAGATGTTGCAAAAATATTGCAAAAATATTGGAAAAATTATTGCAAAAGAATGTTGCAAAATTTTTTCAAAACTGTTAAAAATGTGGCCAAACATCAGAAAAAAAATTGCAAAAACAGAAAATTTTGCAGAAACGATTTTTGCCAATAAATTTGCAACAATTAAAAAAAAAATTATATATATATATATATATATATATATATATATATATATATATTTATTTATACAAGGAAGAAGAAAACGAAGTTCCCAAAGCGCTTTTCGTTAATTGCGAGACTTTAGAAAAATATATATATATATATATATATATCTTGAAGGTAAAATCCTGCGGAAGATGGAAACAAGTGCCTTATTTAGAGTCTTTATCAAGATTTATCTTATCACGATTGTCATTGTGGATACCATGAAATATATATATATATATATATATATATATATATATATATACATATATATATATATATATATATATATATATATATACATATATATATATATATATATATATATATATATATATATATATATATATATATATTTTTTTTTTTTTTTTTTTGCAAAAAAATAAGATTTTTTAGAATAGCCAAAATAATTGGCAAAAATGTAAACAATATAAAAACAAAGTTGTAAATTTTTTTACAAGTTAAAAGCTGAATATGTATTTTAGATAGGGAGATCATAAATCAGGGTATACCAGCATTGCTAGGTCAAAACTAAGCTTCATTTTTAAACAAGAATTTGGGATTCGGCCTCTAACATACCCACAAGAGGAAGGCTTGAGAAGCCTATAACCTTCCCCAGTGTGAATCTCTGACCTGAAATATTTTTACTGTATTCATGATTGTTATAAAACTGAGGTTTACTATATCTAAAAATCATTAAGGGATTTAAAAAAAACCATATATAATCACCTGAAATTTTAGTATCATAATTTCCACATTAAAATTTTCAATTTACAAAAATAACTCCTATATAAAAATGCTATACATCTGTCTGGAACATTCCATATACTGATAAATGAAATGTAAAACTTTTTTATGCATCTAGCAGCTAGAAAATTACAAAAAGGATTTCCATGCATTAGTCCTCATAAATTATACAAACTGCGTAACAATTTGGATAAAAGGCCCAATAAAATTCATTAAGTTTAAATTGCTTTATCTGTAAGACAGAATATTTGTTTTCTTAATTTTTTACACATACAGTTGTACAATACATGTAGAGACCATACTGTACATTATTTTGATTGAGGATCTATTTTCAACAATGTTACACAAATAGAATATAAATTATAAAGCAAATTAAACTTGAGATCCTCCATCTCTGGCCATGAATGCCTAAAGAGGAAACAACAGGAGTTACTCATCTCTATGATAAGGTTTGGATACATGACTGGACGAAGCACCTGGGTAGGACCACCAATACAAAAATAACATAACTTACATGAATCAATACCTTCAGATATTTATTAAAACTAAGAATGCTATTGAAATTTTCTCGAGATATGAATTTAATGGCTGGAAATAGTTGGCCTGTGGAGACAAGAGAATGATGGCAAATACTCTCCAGACCAAGACAAAGAAATTGGGCTAAACCCTGTCGAGAATTTTGAAATCGCAGACATTACTATGAAGGCACATCTGTTGTTTGAGCAGTTGAGAATATTAACATAGTGATGAGATCAAAGAAACGTCTATATTGAGTTTTCATTCTTAACACTCTCTAACACCCATAAGTTCATCATATTAGGGAGGTATACACCTTCATAATCTTAGATATTTCAATGAATTTCAAGAAAATGGTTTCATAACTGTAAATACAAAATTAATTAATTCTTTTATATCTCTTCAAAACAATAATGAAACAAATATACAGTATGAATTTTATTGAAGTTTTTTGCTACAATGATAAACCGCCCACAAGTTCAGTTGTTTCAAATGGCATACATATTTCACACAATGTTTTCATTTCCTTTAGTTAAGATGCCATAGTTTTCACCCACACATTAGCTCGAATATATAATTGGAATTATTTTCGAGTATAGAAAAATAAGTTAATCCATAATCATCTCGACTTCTAAAGACTGAAGGCAGAGAATACATTCAATAACCTCTACTTAACTTAGTTAAGGACACTATCCACTGATCACCTTGGGAATATCTTGAACCATAATTCAATATAAATAAATTTGCTATGTTATGCACTAAGTTAGTTACTAAATACAGTAGTTACACAGAAATGGCAATGAACTTATACCATGCACCTGATGCATACAGTGCAAATATTTGCAGCAATAAAGTACAGTACATGATATTTAGGGCTAAAATGCAACTTTTAAGTAACCGCTTATTTTTGCATTAATGCAAGTAAAACTCATTTTTTTTTATTTTACAAATAAATGCTAGAACTAGTAATTTATTATCGATAAAATGCTTACAAGCATATGTTTGTGAGCAGCATCAAGGAAGAACAGAAAACTTAATGCCCGAGTACTGTTGAAATATATTTTGTACTCTTCTATTGATTAATTGTATGGAATGAGGTCAGGGTACATTATCAGTTCTTCTATATACACCTGAATTTGTATACCCCTAGTTAGCTTCACTGACTGTAACTTTTAAGTGAATGGGGGTCAAGAAATAGAGTTGTTCAGTGCAACTGAAGACAACTATGGTACTGGAAAGGTAACACAAAGTTAATGGCATTAAAACTAGACTAAAAGTATTTATATTACTGTGTAAAAAATCAGTCATAATATGACTGACCAAATGCTATAACTGATCAGTATTACCAACACAGAAGAAAGACTTATTTGGTGGCTCAGTGTCCTCCTACTACTAAGTACATTACTTGGTCATTGGCAGCTACAGACTCCATCAACAACTTTCTTTCTTGCTACCAGTCCCTGTCATCACTAACTTGCTGGTTTTATTTTAAGTACCTCGAATATATTATTGCTATGGACATTCTCATTATTATGAATACAGAATATAAAATACTGCCTTCACAACTAAGGAAGAATATTTCACAAATTACAATACTGATTAAAAGTCTGGAGAGATTAAACAAAAAGATGATACATGTACAGTATTTATATCTAACTCTGCTGCTGAGATTTCCCTTTATAATATGTACCTTATTTACAGTCATTATATTTTACAAATTCAAGTAGGAGTAGAGGTATAATTTGTAGACATTATATGGATTTACATTTAATTCATCTGAAAACCTTTTATGCACATTATGTACATCGACTTTCATTCATTACCCAAGTAAAAGAATTATAAAAATACTGATGCCCCAATGGCTATCAAAATTAATGTATATAGTGCAATGACTTCTATGAGTGAGCACAATAAAAGGCTTAAGTTACTTTAGCAGCATGTATAAGATTATTTCTCTGTTCAACAGTGATTTTTTTTTTCATATTTACTGTACAATATCCTTGACTACCTTATATATCATCATTCAAAGTATTCTCTTTTAATTAGGCAATTCCACTTACTGTCATTTGATAATGAACTAAACAGTATTTACAGTTACCAGGAAATTACCTTCCTATTTCTTATTATTCAGGGATCATACTGCATGTTCTATTTATATAGTGTATTATATCATATTTGTAATAAGTCTATGAATGTGGTAAAAATGATGCATTTGCTTTCATCCTCATAAATATGTAGTCAAATCCATCCCTAGTAGTAACAGGTTGAAGGCAATTTTCGTGGAAATTACAAAAAATAACTAAGCTGATGTTTGCATTTTCAATTACAGTACGTATATTAAAGATACAGTAAATTAGAGTAAATATCACCATAAAACAAAATGTGAAGGAACAATTCTGTATAAAAAGACTATTTAAAACATTTTCTGTACAGTTTTATCACTATCAGCCTAATATGCTAAATTCTATATTTCTTCATCACTAGTGAGATCATGGAAAGGTATTTTAGTCATCAACTGTTCAGAGTCACCTCTCGCTACAGGTGCATAGGCTGTGTTACCATTGACTGTAGACTTTATGCTACCTAATGGTCCAAGATTTGCAACGGGATTAATTTTTAAAGAAGTACGATTTGATGGTCTACGTGCTCGTAATACCATCACTGCCAGGATCAGCACCAGGACCAACAAACCCAGCAGGATTATCAGCAGCACCATATACCATGACTGTTGGCTGTGATATGCATTGAGCAAAATGCGAGGGTGACAGAAATTCTGATCCTGCAAAATATGAAAATAAAAAAATCATTAACAGAAAAAAAATTGTCACTTAGAAAATGATAGATTAACTTGAAACCCTATTTCATAACAGAAATTGGACTAGGGAACCAATGTTTTTAAATCAGCTGACTTGACATTCCCTTTTTCCGTTCTTTCATTCTAATCCAACATACGAATAGAACTATTGTACCATACTACACACAATATTATTTACCTCAGAAGGATTATAAAGCTCAGCATCGCTCCAACACGCTGTACATTCATAATCTTGTAAACCTGAGCAACGGCGACAAGTATAATGGCAGGGGCGACAGCTCAGTGATCCTGTTGCACCCATCTCTTGTGGATTCCATGCATAATGCCTATCAGGGCAATTTTTTAAACACTTGCCATTATAAAGATATTCATTTTTCTGGCATTCTGGAATGGTGAAAAAAAACATTAGTTTTTGAAAGGGTTATATTTCAAGGATAACAATTATTGTATTTTGATTTAAGTAAATATTTTTACATCTTGTACAAATTATTTAGTATAATTTGATATTAATATTTTTATCATAACTGAAAACTATATGCAACAAAACAAATTACAGTACTGTAGTTTGATTTAATGTTAGTTAATTACTGTATACCAGCAACTTATACAAGCATAAATGCATGTTCATTTTTTTTTTAAATATTGTTCAGTTGTGTTTTACATAAGAAATACATGTTTTGGAGAAACTTGGGTACCATTTACCTATTTATGTAGCATGCAATAAAAAATACAGCCATTTTTTCGAAATAAATCTTGCCTCAAAGAACCCTAAAACTAGCTAAAATAATTTAAAAATTTTTCACAAATATAAAAAAAAGGAAGAAAAGGAGAGGACAGGTATATAATGAAGAACTTGTACACTTATGGTTCTGTTTACACATGCACTTAAAACTTTTGAAACATCATCTAAACACTGGTAGGTTGGTGTTCTATTTACAGTACAGTACATCATAACTCAGGAGGTTGCCAAACTCACAAATGTTGGTTAGATGGTGGAAAGAATCGATGAACAAAGTAGTATAATCCTGTAATGAAATTTCGGGACAGAGAAATAACAAGAACAGATAACAGACAATCCAGAGGTTGAATAAAAATAGGAAGCAAAAGGGCAGCAGTGTGATGGTTGTTACATAGGTTGGTCTTAATAGTTTCAGTAATGTTCATAAAATAAAGATCGCCTAAGGAAGGAACAAGACAATTACAGGAAAAAAAAAATTGTATATCAAAGCAAATCAAAGAGAACACATAAAAAACATGGTAAATACAGCTTTAGTTGGTGAGAACATTGATGCAGTGGTCAGTACATACTGTATTTTAAAGCTAGGGTATTTATAAGCATCTACGACACACATTTAGTTTGGGAATTTAGGAAATAACAAGATTTACAACATTAGGGTTAACTTTTTTAGTGTGGCACTCCTCTTGTTATTTTCTTGCAACGACTCACCTGTCCGGGGAGCAGGCGAGTGTTGCCACCGAGGCCCCAACACCAACAGTCAACACCACCATCACACAGCTGCGTCTAGACTCCCCATCCCTGCCACCTCCTCCACTACCATTACCACTTTGACTACACTATGCCAGTTAATATAAAGCAACTAGCACAAACGGTGTAGTCATGTAAGAGGTGGTAGAGGAGAAAGTGGGTAGGACTGAGAGAAGATTGAGGGAAGAAGAAAAATCCCAGAATGGGCTAGAAAATAGAATACAGTAGTATATGAAATAAACCATGTAGGAATAGAAAAAAGAAAAAGTAGCAATACCTGAATGAGTTTGGAAATAAAAAAAAATAGAATAAAATGCACACGAAAATAAACAGACAGGAGAAATACCAGATTAAAATAGAAGCTTTAGAATACACTGTACAGTATGTGAAAAAAAATTAATGAGAAAGAAAAAAGTAGAAGAGAAATATTAAAATAGATTAAGAGCAAAGTAGTTAAGAGTCAAATAAAAAGTAGATAAAAGAGGTAGAACTAGAAAAGAAAAGGAAGAAATATAGTAAGAAGTGAAGTAGGAAATACTGTATTAGCTGATAACAACTTATTAATAGATGGAATTAGTAACTGCCACAGCAACAAGGATCATCAAACTTCTATTACATGCTGGTATTGTACTGAACAGAATACAGGAATATTGTTATACTGTACTGTATAATCTTAACTTAGCAAAGAAAACAAGAGCAGTAAATGAGGTCAAAACTAAGAGAGAAAATAAAATTGGTATTAAGAGAGAACATTTAAAAAAAGAAAGAAAAAAAAAAGAAAAAAAAAAGATATATATTTACCACAGGTATGTACAGTAGTAGGAGACCCAAGAGTAGCCTATTAGGGGAAGGAAAATTGACTAGATATCAATGGTTAGCATAACTTGTACTTAATAGTTGAATCAAGAAAAACCCAACAAACTACGAAGCATATATCATGTTTTGCTTTCAGAACTTGCCAGCTTAACTAATTTTTTTGTGCTCATGACTGGCATAGTTACTGTAAAGCATTCGTTTTTTTTTTTCCTGCAACACCACTAAATTCAGTGCAGGTTATGAAAGTGTACTGGAATAACAAATACTTTATGTTCAGAATTTTTAAGCCCGCTTTAACTCTGTTGGCCTTCATACTAATATTAATAATAATGTATCCTGAGCTCTACACTACCTTCTTTATTCATATTAGTCTGCAAATAAGCAGTCTAGGTACTTGTACTGTACAGCAAAGGTCCTGTCGTCTCTTTTGCCGTTCCATGAACCCAGAGATTCAGATTCGTGAATTCAAAGCATTTATGGACAGAATAATGTATCAGTATCTTCTGCTTTGGGTTCATGAGACTGAAACTTGAGGTTTGTGGAGCAGCAGAGAAGGCGACAGGACTTTTCTTCTTGACTGTACATCCTAGATTTGGTCAATAAAATCAAGAACCAAAAATAGATTGTTATATCATGACGACAACTAACAGCACAAATAGCAAGGCTTCCTCATGAATGATCAAAACTAACGCAAAATTTATATTATTAAAGAGATAACTTGTAACTACAGTACAAAATTATCTAATTTATCTAAGGTATGACCAAGAATGAACTATAAGGATAAATATAATCAGACGAAGGAGGTGCAGGATATAGATACATAATAAAATACACAAGAATTATAGATGGGATGAGCAAATGTATCTAATGAATGAAAAATAAAAAACCTAAGGGGATAAAGAAATGTGCTTTAGTTGTTAAAGGGGGTTCACAATACACTGTACTGTATATGCTAAAGTTATCACAAAGATGAAGTACAGTGTATGTACTTATACAGTATATATATGTAACATATATGTGTGCACAAGTCATTATTGGGGTATATAAAAATATGCTGAACTTAGTACACTATACAGTACGTACTGTAAAGGTAAAGATAAATTTATGCCTTGCTGATAATATATAAACTAGGATTTTTCCTTCGTTACACTCGCAAGATTTAGTATTTTAGCCTTAACTAATCTTCATGTAATTTTAACTTCATTATGTGAACTCAAAAGGTTTTACTGTTTTAACATTCCTTGTTTCAAGACCAAATGAAGATACTAGCTATAAATTTGCTGAACAAATACTGTAGTGTATTATGATTGTTGCAATATTCACTGGAGCAAGTATTCTTTTTTTACCATACCAATTATTTTTTTTTGTATTTAAAATATTCAAGTAGATTCTGAGTAGAATAACATTAATGTAAATTTATGAGAAACACAAGAGCAAGCTGGCTAATGTAAGTGCACTGAGATGCCATCATTACCTCAGACCCAATTATTCATTCTACAACATTTAAGAAGAACGACAAATTTAGGCACATATCAAATGTTAGTTATTACATTTTATAGTTCATGCAGTAAAGAAAATAAGAACTTCAGATAACTTAAATTTAAAAAAGTGTATTCATTACAATTAGTTTTAGTTGCTTATACAGGTATTTTAGCTGGGTCCTGAGTTACAAAGTTGCTTATAATGATGGCACTATATTAGAAAACGAAAAGAAAGGGGTTAATAATTTTCCCCTCTTTAAAACCTTACCCCATACTTAAGTACTGTACACAAACTTGTGGCTACTCCACGCAACAACTACTTCACGTGCAAACTGAAAGAAATGTTACAGGTGAAAATTCCATCCTGGGCTGCAGGCAGAACACACGAAGCAAGAACAATCATAAAGTTGAAGAAATCCAGAAATTTACCTCCACAATTTTAAACCTTTAAGTATTGCAGTTTTTAAAAGGAATCAATATACAAACATTATTGATTTATAGGACTTATGCTAATGAAGGTGGAAATTATATAATTACAGTATCAACAAACAATAGAATACAGTACTGCTTATTTTGGACTTAATATTTTGATGCTTTTTGAATTTGATACAGAAAACATTGAATTGAATTGAAATGAATCATCATCGTTTTATGGTCATTTCCCATGATTGTATGGGTATGAAGAAAAAAAAAGGCTTCAAATCTACATACAATATTTAAATAAAAATGCAGTTCTGTAAAATATGTTTGAAGTAATGCAAATAGTTAAGTGCAAGACTTAAAATTGGGAAGTGTGCAATGCTATGTACAAAGCCTTATAGTATTAGACTGAGTACAGAATACGGTAACTTACTAAATTCAGTAGCTCTTGCCTTCTTTGCACCAAGGTTTGAAGCAACTACTGAAAGTTGTGAGCATTCTGAAACATGCATTAGTATTTAAACATATAAGCCAACTTTATAAATTAAGCAATGAGAAGGAACACTCAAATAAAAAAAAAATTAATATAGTTCTTCATGCTTTCTAGAAGAAGAGTTCTCAAAACAAATACTGTATCAAAAAAGGATATTATGCGGTCTTTGTGGGCGCCTTTGTTAAAAAAAAGTGCATTGGTTGACACAGTATTCATGAAAACTTTGTTTTTAGCCCACTTGTAAGAATCCATCTCCCATAGGATTTGCTGCAGATTTAGGGACTTGAGAAATTAAAGCAAAGCATTAGATATAGTTGGAAGTCCATCAGATTTCCTTCTACAGTACAGTACTGTAGTGTGGAACACCCATTAATCTCGCTATGGATGAAACACATCTCCGCTAATCATTGTATAGATTTTTGCCGTCCTGAAAAAGCTTGTTTTGAATCCAGATTTAGTCTTCTTGGTACTCTCTATTCTTCCTCAAGTATATAAGTATTCCTAAAGTATCCTCCTCCCTAGGTTCAATTATCTGTTCACCATACAGTAAGAACTTTTCATGTGACCATAACTAGAATGAATTAATTTTGGGTATTCTCAAAGATTTTAATAATGCTTTCCACTAAGATTAATATCTAAATGCCATAAAGTCTGACCCCTAAATGGGAAAGAAAAAATATTCATATGCTTTGTGGTGTAAAAAGAAAAAATAATGTCTGAATAACACTGCAGAGCCGTCTGTCAAGAAATAGATGAAATATATTCCATTGACAGAAGAACAATTACCATGGGTCAGCATTTTTAATAATGATAATTTTGAATTTGCAAAACTTAAAAGTTTTCATATTACAAAGCATTTATTCATCACTGATACTATCGAGGAATGTGTTTAATATATTTCACGTTGAGGATTACAGTATATAGTACAGTACAGTAAGTCCTTGCTTAATGTCGTGGTTCTGTTCCTGAAAACCGCGACGTTAACGGAATCAATTTTCCCCATAAAATACACTACATATACATAAATTCAATGGAATTTTTATAGAAAATAGTATACAGTAGATCCAAAAAGATATATAAACTAAATTATTTTGTATTGTACTCGTTGATAGGTGGAGGTGGAGCGAGTGTGTGGTGGGGAGTGTAGAGGAGGAGGACGGGAGGAGGAGGAGGGTGGGGAGTCACTGAGACCCGGAGGGTGGTTCCTCCTCCCGCTCTGACTGGGTGATGTGCCTTACAAGTAGTCCATGACGACGTTATACCAAATTGGCAAGACGTTGTCTAAATAATGGGTATCTAAAGAGTAGCGACGTTATAACGAAACAACGCTGTCGAGGGCAACGTTAAACGAGGACTTACTGTACAGGTATCTTAACTCAAGTTAAAAATGCATGTATGGGTATTCAGGAATTAAACACATACTGCATACAGTACATAATACTGTATATCATATATATTGTACTGGCAGAGTGTGTGTGTGTGTGTGTATATTGCATATAATGTGCATGTGTGCAAGTTGTACACATCGGTTTCTTAACTATATCGCAGAGATTGTTCTCATTCTAAATTTACACAAGAAATCAATTAACGCCTGCATTAATCTTACTTTTTTAAGCAGATGGGATTAACTGAGGAAATACAAATTCTTGAAACACAAAGCTTAAATTTTAAGTAATGAAGGTGTGTATGTATATACAATGTGTCTTTATGTATATTTGCTGTAAAGTACTGCATTTAAGTACATGTATATTGTACAATTATCCATGTATATAATTATATATTCAGATATTTTCAGTGCATCTTTTACTATCGTTAATGATGACTGGAATAAATGGGCATATCCATATACTGTACAAGGATACAGTATAAAAAATTATTATTCCACTTTTTTTCTTTTTCTTTTTTATCATGTTCCTGTACAGATAGGCTAGAGTCATTAATACAGCCAATCCTCATTTTTTCCACAGGCTTTTGTTCTGCAAGCGGTTGTGTAGTCACGAAACTGCATATCAATACCGCCTACAAGGAAATAAGACGCCCAAAATTTAAAAAGTACTTTCTATCAAAACACCCAAAGACTTACCATTGGAGCTTACTGACATAGTCCAACCATCCCATTGACCAGTGCTGTTACATCCGTTTTAAAATAAAGCCAATTCACTATAATGGCATCAAACGTTATGATGTATAAACACTAGTGACTCACAAAGTTTATTAACTGAACATGTCTAATACAATTGTTTCTTTAAATGATTACGATTATTTGTTTATTTACATACTAATATATAAAACACTGGAAGATTTTAATTTTTGCTCAGACTACATATCTAATAAAGTGTTTCATAGGATTTGAGTGAAAAGATTACTGTACATACTACTACAACATTTATTACAAAAAAATATATATATATATATATATATATATATAATATATATATATATATATAAACAATATTTTATAATTGCATAAATATTCATGTAAAAATATAAATTTAAATGAATTTCTGTGGTGACTTCACACAAAGGCTATAAAGCTTATTCTCTGTCTGAGAAAGGTCTTGGTAAATAACTTGTTTGTTTATTTTCATTTGTCAAATTATCATTGACAAATATTACTAAAGTTTGGCAGCTACCAAACAGGAGATTCTACTCTGGGAAGATATTGAAGATATGTCAGTATTGTCTAATGTACTACTCCATATGGCATCACAAATGACCAAGTCAGGTTGCTGATTTATCTTACGCTCATTTACACAATGAGTTTCAATTGTTTCTCTTTGACAACACAACATACATACAATATAATGTTTCATTTGACTTTTCCATTTATTATGTTGGTTATTAAAATAATGCCAATTCATAGATTGCATCAACCCTTTGTACCTAGGACTCAAGCCAGTTATTTAACTGAACTAATGTTGTGTAAAAATATTTCATTACGAAATAGATTTCCATATTGTTTATTATTTAGAAATATTGTAATACATTAAACACACTAAGTATTTAATATATACTTCAAAAAGGAGGCACCATTATACCTAGGTGAAGTTGACCAGACATTTATGATCATTAGGACCAAACTCAATCCATGACGACTTCTGTTAATCATTCTCATCCTAAATTTACCCTCGTAGTTTCAGAATTAAGACATTTACTGAATATTCTTTGTAAAAAATTAATTTAAATTAATTATTATAGGAGATAAGTATTATGATCAGTAAATATACAGATATGATTACTGACCACCTCAACAGCAAAAAGCAAGGTCACGTCAAGTCGCCTTTCACACGGCAAATGGGGGGTGATAAGTTACCTATATTGTTCTTTTACGGTATGTTAGACTGGTTTATAATACATTTTTATTATTTTAATATACCGGTAATCTTCATTTTAATCCAGCTTCCCAAATGTAAGTTTCAGTATAAAATAATTAGTGGTAGGACCTTGTGAGTGGTTTACCATGTTTCCATCACCACTCTTGACACGCTAAACCGCAAAATTTAAGAGGTAAGAATTTTATCTCTGGTGCTTAAGACGACCCCCTAACTTTGGGCTGATTTTTTTTTTTTTCAAATTCCGTCTTGTAGGCCGAGATATATTGCATGAATTCTTCGTTACTTCCAGGTATTATATTACTTTTTATCTAGATCTAGAACGTGTTTGGGCTCTTCAGGGGCTCAGGAATGGAACCTATTTTTCCCACAAATTATTATCAATATACAACTGATGAATTAGTGATGGTTTATTGAGGTTCCTAACCCCATCGTATAACAGTTATTGCCAGTACATAAATATCTATGGCACTTGATGCAGTTACTAAATCTTGGTATTTTAAAACATACAGTACAAGCATGAAAACAATATATGCTTGTATTTATTATAAATATCAAAATTCTAAGTGTACCAAGTGCCATAAATATTTTTAAGCAGGGTAATTGGGCACGTGACCCAGCTACACAGCTCCAAGATATTAACACCAACACCCCTGGAAGGCAGACAGACATTGAGTTATATGCCCGAAAGGTTTTATAGTTCGCCACTAAACAAGCAGGAATAGAATGATGGTGGCGATACACAACCCCCGTATATAGTTGTGTTAACTCATTATATAATTTTTTTCTCTTGGGAGGCCGGGGGTACCCCAACTGTGCTTAGAGCTTAACCATGCAAGGAAACTGCCCCTCAAGCTTTGTACAGTATAATTATCATAGTTACTTAGGACTATGTTGGTATATAACCGACAGAGTCCGTTATTATGGACCGGCCTTACCCCCAATTAGTTAGTTCATCCTCTTTGTCTGGCTCTTGCATAACTTTGCCTGTATTCTCTTATACATACCTAAAGTGCTTCATTTAATGAACACACCTACAACTACATCTTTAACCTAAAAATCCCATCAGCTTTATTTTTTGTGTGTAGGCACAAGTTACGGTAACTACTTCACTGAGTTTATGGATAAGTTTTTGTATAGAACTCGGGAAAATGTTTCATATTTCTGTTCTCACATTTCTTGCTGAAAATGAATGCAAGCACAGCAATTGAAGTATTTTCCTCATTCTACAAGAACCACCATGCCAAAATTGCAAGGAATATTTCTTTGCAAGTTAAAACAATCTTTTATCAACTGCAAGACATTCTATACCTTCAAATTTTTATGTTTTGTGCACCTGTAAACTTACTCTATAAATACATCATAATTAGATGCCTAACATTTTCCTCTTTTGTAAAACCACACACTTCATGCTTAACATCACAGAACTCATATTAATTTACTGTGCATCATTATAAGTAAAAGCAGTGAAAATAAAGTGAAGAGAAAACCAAGCATCATGCAACACAAACCTCCCCACACAGCATTATAAAGGCTTAAACCATTTTGCTCTATTATCTCAATTTTCTATTACAGTTATTTGAATTTCGTAAGTGCAGTTATTATATATAATCAAGATCAAAATAAGGAAGGATGATATGCTACAAAACTGTATCTGTTTACCATAGTCAAAAG